CAGGTATCCAGTACAAGAGGGTGTAGACTATCCAATACAGATGGATAGTAAATTAGTGGATGAGTAAACAATCGGTGTTAAGAGAGTAATGCATTGTATGAAAGCAGTTGGGGCAGAAAATTGGATTATTTGTTGGAAATGTCCCTTGTTGCTTAAAGCTAAGTTCCGATAGAAGCGTAAATATCCTTTACTCAATTCGTTTCCTTCGGTTTAAACGCGCAGTGTACATTTCATAACGCATTTTCAAGTTTTCGTTGCATTCTTACGCAGTAAGAAAAACTTATCAGGTATAATAAATATCGCATGCCTCCCATTGCACCCTTGCCATGTTTCGGTTGAGCTTCAGGTTCAAAATTTATGTTGTTCTTCTAAACATTTGAATGAGTGGTTTGTTTTCGAAACAGCTTTCAGTGGCCCGTTGAATTCTTTGGCTTTATGCGACTTCATTCTGTTCAGTATTACCTTCCAGTAAGTGTTCATTTTTTTACATTACACGATTCTGTAACAGTTATCTACGGATGTAAGTTCACTTTCAGCTGTGTTAACAAAATCTTGTCATAGCATCAATAGCTTCAGTTCATCTTAAGGTGGAAGATAGAGGAAAACGGCGTCACTCTGCAATGCTCTAGTAAATCGGAGAAAAGAGTGATCGCTTTTACTTGATTGCATAGGAGAATAAATTGGATTTCGATCTGAATTTAAAAATTCGTGTAAAACAAGTAAAATCATTAAACAAAGACAATGCTGATGCTTCCATTATAGAATTTTGCCTTCAAATATGCTTCTTGCATGAATATTATTATGTACTCAATTACATAATGCGTTGCCGAATGCAAAATTCTCTCATCACGTTTCCTGATGATGACCGATGCCAGTTCTGTCGAAATGTTGAAATTGTTGTAAATAAACTTTTTTCTTGTTCCTCGTGATGCCAGCCATAGAATCAGAAAACCTATCCCTTTCATGTGATCAGCGGCGTCATAACGATGTGAGCCATAGAAATTAATTATTATATCAAAGAATTGCCTGATTCAGGTAGAAATGAGTTATTAAATGAAGAACTAGTTGAACTAGAAGTAGCACAAGTTGCTGAAGAAACTTTAAAACTAGAAGAGAAACGGAAACGTTTCGTGACG